GCAGATGCGATGCAACAAATGATCATGAAAATGGGATGGGTAGTTGTTCTGCAATCGGGATATACTGCATGTTGGTCGTCTTCACATTATCACTGGTTTGAATCCATACAACATTCCTTCTTTGGTCTGTCGTTCCAACAAGTTCATGATATAACTGTTTTACAGTGTAAAATTAAATTAAAAGGTGGCATAAGGACATAGAAAGTGAGGCAGAAAACATTGATGACTGAATAATGATGCGATGAATTTAAACAAAAGATTTGGTAAGAAATGCTGGAAGTTTTGAAATTGTTGAACCACCGATTATCAGTCGTGTTTTCTTGCTTAAGACACACTGACATTCAATCGTGAAACTGCTTATAATTTAGTCAAATTTGAGTACAGTTGCTTATAAAAAAAAGAAAGAGAAAAAAAAGTGTATTCCACTGCAAAAGAGTAATTGTTCATTTTATTGCTTGTCTAAGTAACAAAATCTATCCTCATGTTGCAAATGCGCCGCAACAAACGACTATGGAAAATGGGATGTAAAATTGTTCTACAGAGTATTCTCCAGATTGGTCATCTTCATCTTATCACTGGTTTCATTCCATATGTTTGGTAAGTGATTACAACAATTTCATGATATTCCTCTTTTGCCGTGGAATATGCAAGGACATAGAAAGCCAGGGAGAATACATTGATGACTGAATAATGATGCTATGAAATGATGTATATAAAATATTTTGTCACAAAAGTGCAGGAAACTTCTGTATCGACTTAATATTATACGTCTGAATATATTTTTTCTGTGAAATTCTTGAATTACGTATTCTTATCAGTCAAAGATTTTGTTAAGGCAAAAACTGTGAACTTGCAAAAAAATGGTTGACTCTGTCATCTTGCTTACTTGCTTTTTTTTTTAGAATGATATTTACACTATACAAGGCCCGAGAACTACTCGAGGTAGAGAATTAAGAGACACCGCCTCAAATAAGGAGATAATGCTGTCAAAAGTGAAAAAGAAAGAATTGGCTTTACAAGGAACCGGAAACCCAATCCTAAACAAAAACAAGGAATAAATCTCTAATCCTGTTCGAAAGACATGAGAGGATCGTGAAACGGACAATAGACGAACCTATCTACTCCTATTGAGAAAAGAAAAAAGGAAATAAAATTTCAGAGTTTTAGGTGGAGACGTTAGAAGCATAGATTCGAAGTACACTTTAGACGGAACCGGAAACACAAACTTAAACAATAAACAAAGAATAAAACTCTACTCCTTTTCAAAATACCGGGAAAGGATGTTCACCGAACGATAGGCAAACCTATTTACTCCTATTATGATGCATTGGAAAATAAAATATACCTTTCTAATGCAACCAATTAGTGATTTTGCGTCATGACAACAAATATCTTCCTATTGCAAATGCGACGCAGCAGACGATCATGGAAGTGAGACGGGAAGTTATTCTGCACTCAGAGTACTTTCCAAACCTCTCATCTTCAGATTATTATTCGTTTCGACGCATGCAACACTACTTGACTGGTCAGTCGGTCTAAAAACTTCATGATATTGATAAATTCCTTGAAGAATTTATGAAATTAAAACCGAAATCAATTTTTATTATGGAATATATACTTTAGCTAAAAGATGGAGTAACGTCATGATAAACTATTGAAAATAATTTGCCAGCTGAACAATGATGCCATGAATGTATATAAATAAAGTAATTTTTTAATAAAATACTGGAAAACATTTTGCATCAACTTAATCTGATGGAATGCACAATTTAGCTGAAAGGTGATGTAAGGTCATGGAAACCCTCGGAAAATACTTTGCAGGCTTAATAGTCGTGACATACAATTATAATAAAAGACTTTCACCAAAAAAGAAGCTGGGAAATTTTATATCAGTAATCATAATTGTATAAACTTCTTCTATATGTTGTGGCCGACGTACGCGATCATGGCTCTCCACGTTTCCATATCCTCTGTAGCTCTTAGCAATGTGTGGCTGTTTACTATCCCTCCCACACCCTGTTCTGTCATCCATTTACAGAAGTTCATTAGGTAAGGTACCCGGTGTTTCCCTCTACCCGTCTTGTCTTCAGTCCCGTGAGTGTCAAATTCTCCAAGTCTACTTTCCTTATTATGCCATAGAAATTTTAACTGTCTCTTTCTGAGTTTAAGTGCTCGTTTTTGTTTCAATTTTCCATAAAAGATCCTCTTTGCAAACATATTGTGTCTATGATATTCACAGCACCCCTCTGTGGAACGACATCTCTGTTGCTTCAAGTTGCCTCTTCATTCGTAAAGAAATTGTCTACCTACATCGCCATAGAGTTGTATTGCTATGAAATAACAGTTCAGCAGTTTTTTCTAACAAAACTTTACTATTTCAACGTTCACACTAACTTTATATCCTGACTCTTAAAGGCAACTAACAGGAAACATACTTTTGCCAAAAAAAAAAGAAGGTATTTATAGAGTTTACTCGCTGCCATAGTTGAATAAAAGTATTTTCAGCACACAAATCCAAACCCATACATACAACTTTTCTAGATTTGCTAAAACAGCTGACGAGTGGACTGAACAATTGCAAAAGTTAATCTAAGAAACTCTATACTCGAGGTACTGAATATAACATCAATCATCTAAGCGACAAATTTTATCTGTATTAATCATATATATATATATATATATATATATATATATATATATATATATATTTGTTTGGATAGATGTGAGTTTGTGACCCTGGATTTCACGCTTTAGCGATCGTCAGACAAACTCTGATCGCTAAAGCGTGAAACCCAGGGTCACAAACTCACATCTATCCAACCAAATATGTTAGCTCTATCTCTGATATTGAGCACTTTCTAATAAGTACCGCGCATATAATATAATATATAAATAATTATACATATATATATATATTTATTTATATTTTATACACTTTTCACACACACACACACACACACACACACACACACACACACACACACACACACACATATATATATATATATATATATATATATATATATATATTTGTGTGTGTGTGTTTGTGTGTGTGTATATATATAGAGAGAGAGAGACAGACAGGAGATAGATAGATAGATAGATAGATAGATCGATAGATAGATAGATATTCCGTTGGTATATAATCCAAGTGAATCCTAATAATATAAAATCTTAAAACTGATCCACAAAGAGAGCTCAATGTATTTATTTTAACAGAGCATATAAATTACGTACAATAGGAATTTAAAATGACCTCATAGTTATGATCATTTCACCTTACAAATTATAAGTTTACTTGCAAGGATTTTCAAAACGATCAAGGTAATAAGATAAAATAAAATTTTATCTGCGGGCACCAATCTTGGTAATGACCAGGCTCAACCTTGCTTAACTTTGGTGATCAAAAATCTGGTGGAGAAACACTATTAAGTGAGAACAAGAAAAAAACAGGGATCAAGAAGACAGAAGATAACGGTTGACATTGCATTTAAATAATGAGACCTAACCGCCAATCTAGTATTGTGCTTAAATTCATAAAGTCTAGGTACCAAAGAGGAAAGTTCATCAGAACAATTACCATGAAAGTATTTACATGGAATCTACAGCAACCAACAACATTGCAGATTCTTCTTTGGATTTTATCGAGGATCTCTAAATATATAACAGGAATACCAGACCATATATGGCAGCAATATTTAAGGCATGGACAAATGGTAAACTTATAAATATGTAAGATAGATTCAGGCGAAAAAAATGTTTAGCACGACACAGTGAATCAATTTCAAGGGACTGCATATTTCAGCTTATATTCTTTTCTTGTTATCCAAGGATTGTTGCCGTCCTGAGTATGACGATAAACTACGTCCGCGTCCTGGGTAAGACGATAAACTACGTCCGCGTCCTGGGTATGATGATAAACTACGTCCGCCTCCTGGGTAAGACGATAAACTACGTCCAACAGCAAGGCCTCTGATCAGGAGGCTTTGAGGAGCGTGGGAACACCTCTTAATTACTGATGTTCCCAGGTCCACACTGACCCGGGGTGGTAGCACCTGTTAGGACCCCAGCTATGGGCAAATAATTGACACCCACCCACAAAACTGGGGTCAAATACCAGCAATACATTTTTGTAAAAAAAAAAAAGACTATTATAATAATACATTTTTGAAAAAATAATACATTACGAGCATTACATTTTTGGAAAAAATATTAGCAGCGATAAAAATTTTGTCGGCATTAAATAACTCATTGAGGTTGACACACACACATACATAAATACATCTAGGCAAGATGTATTTACGTGTGTGTGTGTGTGTGTGTGTGTGTGTGTGTGTGTGTGTGTGTGTGTGAATAAAAAGTGACAACAGGAAAATTATACTTAGCCGACGCGTTTCGTCCTCTTAGGTCTTTATCAAGGCAATGTTGTCTCTTTTTATTATATAAACTTCAAGTATGTTCACTACAGAAAATATATATATATATATATATATATATATATATATATATATATATATATATATATATATGTGTGTGTGTGTGTGTGTGTGTGTGTGTGTGTGTGTGTGTGTGTGTGTCCTTGTGTATCTATATGTATAATTTATAATAAAATTACCGGTTTTTATATATATATATATATATATATATATATATATATGTGTGTGTGTGTGTGTGTGTGTGTGTGTGTGTGTGTGTGTGTGTGTGTGTGTAATATGTCTTTTCTCTATATATATATATAATACATATATATATTGTGTATTTGGGCAGCAATCCTCTTTTATGCAAGTATCGTTGAAAACGGCTGACAAGTTGTTGAGTTTTTTTTTTATCTAATTTTTTTTTTTTTATCTAATTTCTCATGTGTTCATATATAACTTTCTTTTTTATTCAGGATATAAATTATATAAAGATTGTCTGAATGTTTTCCAAGCGCTTTCAGCTATACTTTTAGGCATTATCAAGGCTGAATTTAATATAATTTATGTCCTGAAAAGAAAAACTTATATGCACACATGAGAAATTAGATGTCTGGTTTGGAGAGTAATCTGAGCTGATTCTTGTTGAGCGGTTGAATGGTCCAAAATACTGTCAAATATTAGAGAAAGGATTACTCCCACTATTTGAACCCAAGTAGACATTCTTGTCAGTCGACTTTTTTCAAGAATATGGAGGGTCATGTGATACGAGCAAAGTAGCAAAGGACTGGAAGGAAACGCAAGGAATCAAATCCCTGCCATGGGTAGTCCCAAATTCCTGACATGAATCCAATAGAGCACGTTTGGGAGCACCTTGACCAAAGACTTCAAGAGCGTGCAACCAAAATCACATAAGTGGCAACCCTTAAAGAAACATTGCTGAACGAATGGCAAAATATGGTTCAGACGATTGTTGAATAACTTGATCAAATCGAATACAAGCACTGAAACTAGCAAATGGAGGACCTACTATATACTGGTTCCAAATACTGTTTATTTATGTTTAGTTAGGATTACGTAATTAAATTTTGAGATTGGATGTAGTTTAAGTAACTCATATTTTGACACAATAGTTGTCAGTAAAAATGAATATATATGTATGTGTGTGTGCGCGCACGCGCGGTGTGTATGTGTGTGTGGAGAAAGAGTGATAGAAAGGGTAAGAGAGAGTGGGCACTTCGACATGGCGCAATATTGAAGAAGCTAGTCTCGCTCGATCATTTATGACCGATTAGTGACTTCGATTCTCACTGGGTGCTCCATACTTTCCGCCTTGTGCCAAGCTTAGCAAACTTCGACAAGTATTATGGTTAGCAAGTTGGTCAGTTACGACTTGCTGGTGATTTAAATTCTCACTGAGTGCTCTTGCGGCCTTGTGCCACATCTAAAAGAGGCTTGCTAAATTTCGAGAAAGAGAGAGAGAGTGAGAGAAAGAGAGAGACAGAGAGAAAGAGAGAGTGTGAGAGAAAGAGAGAGAGTGAGAGAGAAAGAGAAAGAGAGAGTGAGTGAGAGAAAGAGAGAGAGTGAGAGAGAAAGAGAAAGTGAGAGAGAGTGAGAGAAAGAGAGAGAGAGAGTAAGAGAGAATTAAAGAAAGAGTAGGATAGCTTAAAGAGATAAATAGTGGATTGAAAATTTACCTTCGGTCGAGTAAATTCTTTTTCCGTTAGAAAACCAGGTCAAGGTTTTCACTGTCGTCTGATTTGCTGTTGATAAGTTGGGATGAATCGTTGTTTTTTCAATTGATCATTTGTTTGTCGTATGGAACCAGATCTATGAAAAAAAACAAAAAAAGACAAAAAGAAAACAAACCGAGTTTATGTGTATTGCAGTGGGTGGAAGAATGATGCCTTTTTGGAACTTCTCCAGCCATCTAATATTAAAAAAAATGGCCTACCTATAACGATTGCACTGTAGTCCCATTCAAATTACTCAGCTTGAAGCTTCGCACCATTAATCCGAATGTTCCATTCACTTTTCAAAATAATCTGCAAAATCCTTATTCGGGATTACCATCAGGTGTATTGAAACATTTTCATTAGAACTTCTCTTTTTTTTTTGGCCCAGTTTGAATCCTTAGCTCTTTCATCGGCGATAGCCATAGATGTATCCATGACAAACTCCTGGAGTAAACATTACTGGTCTTCAAGTTCGGTCATTCTGAATACAATGCTACACAGTAGGGAAGCTCACTAAATGACCAACTGCACAGGCAAAGGTTTCTTTACTCGTGCAAAGAAAGGTCAGTTCTCATAAATTGCAAAATTCTATCGGAGTCACACAAAAGGATCTTTGGATACTCTAGATGGTAAGATACTTGTTTACATTGGCCACTATCTATCTATCTATCTATCTATCTATCTATCTATCTATCTATCTATCTATCTATGTCAGTCTGTTCATCTATCTATCTATCTATCGATGTGTTTTGTATTTTAATCAATATCACTGTGTACAAAGCTCTAAATCTATCTATCTATCTATCTATCTATCTATCTATCTATCTATCTATCTATCGATGTGTTTTGTATTTTAATCAATATCACTGTGTATAAATCTGTATCTATCTATCTATCTATCTATCTATCTATCTATCTATCTATGTCAGTCTGTTCATCTATCTATCTATCTATCTATCTATGTCAGTCTGTTCATCTATCTATCTATCGATGTGTTTTGTATTTTAATCAATATCACTGTGTACAAAGCTCTATCTATCTAGCTATCTATCTAGCTATCTATCTATCGATGTGTTTTGTATTTTAATCAATATCACTGTGCATAAATCTGTATCTATCTATCTATCTATCTATCTATCTATCTATCTATCTATCTATGTCAGTCTGATCATCTATTTATCGATGTGTTTTGTATTTTAATCAATATCACTGTGTATAAATCTATCTATCTATCTATCTATCTATCTATCTATGTGTTTTGTATTTTAATTAATATTACCGTGTGTAAATCTGTATCTATCTATCTATCTATCTATCTATCTATCTATCTATCTATCTATCTATCTTTTTCATTCTTTTCATATTTGTTTGTACACCCACGCACGCACTCAGATAGACATAAGACGAATAAATATCCCACACTTATTTCAGATACTTCCACGGCATAAATATGCCTGAAATTAACATAGATAATGATTTCGATGGGAAATTTGAGACTATAAAAGCAAAAAACAAAATGGACGTTAGAAGTTTTTTTTAATATAAAATAGGAAACTGATAATGGGAAAAGGTATTCGAACATCGTGAGAAACTCTTTATAAAACCGTTACATGATATGTGTTCAGCTGTCGGACTTCATAAAATAAAAAAGCTCTCGAATGTTCCAGCAGGAATTTCTCTTGGGTATGACTCAATTAAAATGGGTCATTCGTCTGTGTTGACATCTTTCAAAATGGTGGTCATTCCGGCTCAAATCAATGAACTCAAAATATAGCAAAAGAGGATTTAATAAAGGATGATATAATGTATTGCCATATCTCCACATTTCCTAGTCAATGTCATTGGGTCAGATGGGCAGCAGAAACGGGACATTGGGGTCATTTGAAAACCCACTCAAAATGGTGTTCCTCACAAAATATTTAAGCACCGAGAAAAAATAAAGGAAAAAAATTCAATAACGACCTAAAATGATCTCTGAGATTTAAATGGTTGAAACATGGAAAAGGTAAACTTCAAACTGGTAGCTTAAAGTGTCGTATATCAAGACAAACTTCTTTAATGATGGCATTGGAAATTTAGACAGAAATTCACATCTGGGCATTTAGAGAGATGAAGTCCATTTTCCAAGAAAGTTTTGGTCACAATCCCGCACTTTCGGTTTGAAATAAAAATACAAGCCTCTCCGACAAAAGAAAAACTATAACCGTATTAAACCTTCAAATATTATGGTGGGCGGGTGTTTCACTTCAAATGCCACAGAAACACGTCAAGGGCCAAGAATACAATGATTACTTTGGTGGATCGAATTTATTCTTCGGGATGGTTTGATCCTTGAAGTCATTCGAGAATATGGTACAATGTAGAGGTGCGAATAGCCAAACCAATCTTCTGATTTGAATTCACAGAAAATTTTCAAGAATGGTAGACAAGGTCGAATTTACTGTTATAAACTACAATCTTCCATGAATCTCGTACATTCATAACTGCTCTGGCGTATCGAATGTAAACAAATGACGTCATATGTTAAGAAATGGACAATTTATTTATTAAAGACATTTTTTATTTATGTTTAACGTTGTTATTTTATAGATACAAGTATTTAAGCAAATGCTCTGTTTAAGATAAACAGTATTAAATAACATTTACCGGCCTGAATGTCCGTCTACCATAAGGTTCATGGTGGCCGAGTGTTTAAGGCATGTCAGCGTATATGACAGTTCCGTATAGGATGCAGGTTCGAATCCTGTCTATGAACGAATATTTTCTATGAAAATTTCTCGGACATTCAGGCCGGTAAATGTTATTTAATACTGTTTATCTTAAACAGAGCATTTGCTTAAATACTTGTATCTATAAAATAACAACGTTAAACATAAATAAAAATGTCTTTAATAAATAAATTGTCTTAACATATATATATATATATATATATATATAGAAAGATAGATAGAGATAGATAGAGAGAGAGAGAGAGAGAGAGAAATAGATAGATAGATAGGTATATATATATATATATATATATAAACTAAATTCCGGTCAAGCTGCGACCAACCACGACTGTCAATTGCATTGGCAGTGCGCAATCTTCAGACGTTCGGTGTCTGTGATCGAAAATAGGCAACTTTATCCATTCAGGTGAGTTTAAGATGGCAAGATTCAAAGTTAGTAATAACACTGATCAAAATCACCTGGGATGTGGGGGTCGGGGCAACCCACTCGGCCAACATGGAAAAAGAAGCAAAAAAAAAAAAGATTCAGCGGAAATGGTTTTCCAGTGTGAGAAAAAGTGCTCAATGCTAAGTGGAGCAAAAGAGACACGGTGGATGCGGGGAGGTTGTCTTTTCGGTGTGAAAACATAAGTAAATTCTTTTTAGAATTACGTATTCCCCCCCACCTTCTCATATATATATATATATGTGTGTGTGTGTGTGTGTGTGTGTGTGTGTGTGTGTGTGTGATACAATATAGTTTAATGTATGCTTTATTTATACTGCACAGTGTCCAGGATAGATCATACGTAGATATGAGCAATGTCGTAGACCCAGGTCAGTACTTACATGGGGTCCGCTTGGGAACACCTGCTGGTGCTGTAAGCAGACCCCTACTAGTGGAGTAAATTTTCACTTTGCCAAAATTTCTGTAATGAACGGAAATAAATATCTGTAAATATAAGCAGTGTAGACATAGAGTTTAACACTAAATGGCGGCAGTCTGTTTCATGCTTGAACTCAGGCGACCGATTGTGTTCATTCAAGCATGAAACAGCCGGTCACCATTCAAAATCTGTGTACACACTCCACACACACACACACACACACACACACATATATATGTGTGTGTGTGTGTGCATGTATGTATGTATGTATAGGGGGAACAGAGAAAGGTAAGTCAGATGTAGAGAAAGTGAGAAAGAAATGAAAAGACTGCTATAGACAGCAGTTCATGCATGTGTATATTTCTGTCTTTCCGTGTGTCTGTGTATGTTATTCGGAGAGTGCTTCCATAAGCTCTTGCCAAAATGAACCCATCCCCTGATTGCATATCCCGAGAACTGCTTGCTCGTCTTTGATATCATAAAACAACGAATTAGGTTTTTGCTGGACATAAATGCACAGGTAGCATTTCAGTTATAGATATGAAGAAAATAAATAGTCATGTCGAGGTCACGTTCCAGCCTTTTATGTTACATTCAGTTCGTACTAATGACCTAGGAAAAGGCAAAAATCTCTCCACGCTCTGAGTTAAATTTGCAAGGTAGATTGGGTTCTTTAGCCTTGGTTGGTTGCTCTGAAGTAAAAAAAAAAAAAAAAAAAATCTGGAGAATGCAACAGGAAACCACTCCAGTATCCATCCCAAAATGACACGGCATTTTGCAGACAATCAATAAGACAAATCAATAGAAAACAATGATTGCCAATGACGTAAATTCCAATGGTGATGGTAATATTAACTGTTTCTTTATAAGGAAACAATCGCCATTCATTAATTGAACAGCCAGTGCTATTGTCAGTCGAATATTATAAAATATCTCGATTAATACAAATTTTTACAAAAATAAGTTTCTCAAGTTTAGTAACTGATATTGATCTTTCCAGTACTGATGGAAGTTTCCTTCCTAATCTTTTGTTTGAGGTAGCGTGGAACGTCAACTTCTTGATTATATCATTATTTTCTCATCCATTTACATGAGCTATCCATTTTAGTTGTTGCTAATGTTGAAAGCCCTAAAGTAATGTGGTTTCTGTTATTTGGTACAGTTTATTGTTTGTGATTGTGTTGCGCCAAACCACGACATTCGAAGAAAGGACGTGGTCTTTTCTTTTAAATTGAAAAATGATGTTCCTGCACTTTTAGGCGTTATTTTAAGGTTTTAAGCGACAAGTCATCCACTAAAAGATTACTGTATTTATTTATTTTTTTAAATATTGCGTTATTTCATATATGTCTATATCCATAGTAGGTAACGCCATTTGTAATAGCAGACAACTTTAAAAAGTAGACAAATATTTATTTTATGGGAATTCTTTTTATCTTACATTATTTCTTATTGTTTGAAATATTATTTTCGAAGGTAAACGATTCTTTTTTAATTTCATACCAATTTATTTTAACTTGATATCAACCGGCCTAGAACGAGGCACTTTTCTCCTTTGGTAGGATTTCTCGATCTAGTCAGATTTATATTAATTTTATTGTTTAAGAAAATAATAAAACCGAGATGTGATCTCAAACAGATCCATCCACAAAAAATAACGTTTACTCTACTACTACTACTACTAATAATAATAATATTAATACTATTAATAATAATAGTAATAAATTAATTGAATTAAACTTAGTATAAGGTAACAAATTATGAGAAATTTGGCAGTCAAATAAGAGTGAACTTAACAATTAAGGAAATGTTCGTCTACGAATTGCTGGAGTCGAGATGCTGAATATAACATCTATCAGCTAAATAACAAATGTTATTTGTATTAATTCACTATATATATATATAGATAGATAGATAAATAGATATATATATATATATATTTCCAAGAGGATAGAATCTAAGTAGAGCTCAATGTTCAGGACAGAGCAAGACTATAATATATACGGCTCAAACACTAATATCCCATGGTTATAATTTATTACATTGGAATCGTATTTCTTTTTGAATTTGTAGGCCTGATGAATTGGATCGTGATTACGATTTCAATGTACTAAATTATAACCATGGACTGTTAGTGCTTGAGATTTTTTTTTATATATATATATATATATATATATATATATATATATATATATATATATATATATATATATATATAAGTGCAGGTATGCAGAAAATAGAAAAGAACACGTTGGGTCCATAATCCGGAGTTCCTTAGTATTTATGTGTTTATTTTAAGAAGACAGTGCTCCATACAGAAGTAGAGCTTTATTATAATAATATTTTATTTTAAACAAAAATATCATATATATATATATATATATATATATATATATATATATATATATATATATATATATAGAAGCGAACATTGAAGTTAATACTCAGAGGCGGCCTGACGATTGCATCTAGCATGAAACAGCCTGTCGCCTTTGAGTGTTGACTTCAATGTTCACTTTTCTATTTACATACGCTCTATCTTTGATACTGAGTACTTTACTTTATAAATATAGCACACCTTAAAACTATATTTCTTCATAGACATAGAGACAAAACAACATGTTGTTTGATTAGTGCTCAATAGATTGCCGACTTTTGAGGCAAAGAGATGGAGGAAACTGCGGTTTAGACATTGTGGGGAATTGTACATCAATGGTCAACATGAAAGGAATTGGGGAAGGCATTTGTCCAGAAGTGTAGTTGTTAATGATGATGATGATGATGATACATATTTCTGTAGAAATTCAGGTAGTACCATTCTCCCCCTGCTGTGCTGTATCTTAACCAGAGTCA